AACAAATAGAAGTCATCAATACAGGTAGTTAGGTTTCTATAAATAGAAGAAGTCGAAAAGTTTAAACCCAACTGAAGTAAGTTAATGTTGGATGAAAGAGGTGAGCAGGAAATAACTTGTTTCCATTTTGAGGCTCGAGGAGTCTGACGTGGACTCTCCCCACCCACACTTTCAAAACACTTAGCTGACTTTCTACTAGAGTGGTCAAATATAAAAGAGAAGTTAGGCGTTGACAATAAATTCACATCTTGAGTAGAAGTAGGAAGTTGGGTACCTGGAGCTGTTGTAGAAGACTTAAACAGTACCTGCTGTTGACCCCGTTCTCCGTTACAATTTGAAACCACGTTCCCCACCGAGCGTGTAACCGAATATGCTTTTGGTGAAAGCGACGTCGCCTCTGTTCTGACTCTTTTTTGCTGATTCTCCGAACTGGTACCTGAATCCGATCTTCCACACCAAGTGGTAGCATACTTCCTTTTGATGCCTTGACTCCGTTGAGTGGGCTGCATAATTGATCGCCATAGCTGCATTCTATTCTCTTGGCTTTGTAAGCTTGGGATTATTACTGGTTATATGTCATTCAGACCCCTTCTCAATCGAATTGATAACTTCTGGGGAGTAAAAACATGAATAGGCTTTGTTTGAGTTGCAAGATTATTCGACTTGTTGCACTCTGCATTGTCTAATTTCCTGACCTTCTCCTTCGATGCTGTTTCTACATTAAGTTCTAGCTTCCAATCCACTTCGCTTGCTAGTCTTTTAGGAGCTCCGTTGCTCGGCCCTAAGTCTCCAGGATTAGATGAGCTATCTGAGGATGATGAGTCAGTGTCTTGATTTGGTTAATTCTGGTTGGAGTTATGACTTCCTGAGTTATCACTTCCAGCAGAATTTGGAGGAGTATGTTCAGAGGATTCTAAAGCTGGGTTTGGATGAGGATAGACTTTGAGGTTCACTATGGTCATCCTAAAGTGCTCAATATCTGCTAATCCCATAATTTTCTTCGAATAAAGAGGTGTTGGAGGTCTGGCCAAGAGCAGGTCATAGTTCATGCCACATAATCCCCTAATTCGATAACTCACTTCCCTGTGAGCTAAACTTGAAGGAGTTTTACAATGAGGTTGTCAATGACTAATCTTTCCACATCCATGATAGAAAATGAAGACTCCTTCATATCTTAAAGAAACCCACAGAGCTTTTGATGGAGTGACTTCATAGAAAAAACCAGGAACTAGTGGTTTGTTTACAGGGATAACCACTTTTGCTCTCATTAAACTATGAGGCCTATATCATCCAGGGACGGCTGATCATATCTTATTATCCTTCCCACTCTTTCTAAGATTCTTCTAGCCACTTGAGGCTGACACTCTTCAGTGGGAATACCTTCCACTTTCATCCATATGGAAGTTTCTGAGAATCCATATCGAGCAGATTTGAACCTATATGCCAACCTTTGAAGATGATAAAAGCTCCCTTGTATGCAGCTGATTCCATAGACATCAGGTTGTCCCATTTCATCCCATGTTGTACAAAAGAATAAGAACAGGGATGAATGAATTGGTCTTCTAGAAGTTATCCACCCAATTCTGTATTTGAATTTCACTGAACACCCTTTCATCTATAACCTTGGCTACAACAACAAGACTATACTTATCCACATCTTCTGGACTATCATAGGGTTTCTTGGGGATTCCAATTCCCATTCTATTTAGGACTGAATAGCTGCACTGATGAGACATTAAGAAAGCTAGGAATAATTAAGAAGAAGAGAAGTTTGGGGCTAAGAAAAGGGGATTAGGAGGTTTAGGAAAGAAAACTTAGCTTCTGTAGAGAAAATTCTAGAGAGAGAAAACACTCTCAATATTCTAGAGAGAAAAAACTTGAGTGCACATAGAGCTAGGTACACTTAACAATAGTTTTTTTGTTCATTTGATACTTCCTCCATTCATTTATTATTACACCATAGAGGTTGAGCACATTTATTTTGGCAGTGAAAAAAAGAAGAGGGGGTAAAAAGTAGTGAAGTATCATGTGATGTAAACATAAAGAATCAAGTATAAAAAAAAGGATATATTGAGTATTTGTAGTATGAACACAAATATTTTGTTTGCTAAAATAATTATGGTGCAATATTTGTGAAACTTTTTTAAAAGGTAAGTGGTGCAATAATTAACAAAAATAGAGGAATTATATATTTATATACTTTTTCTCATTTTACCATTTTAAAATAAAATTAGTAAAATATATTATATAATCAGAAAATAACTTGGATGCACCTTACACCCAGGTGTATATAATTTTTTTTATTTTTATTTTTTTATGTCAAATTTTTTTTTTTTTATTTGTTATTAAAGATTGATTATTTGCTTAGAATTTTGATAACGCGAAGTTTTATGTTTTGAGAAGCAAATCATTTTATTGATTGAGTATCTAATATTGATCATTTATTATTTTTTATGTGTAGTAGAGCTTGTAATTGGTCTAATTACTCAAAAGATGAATGAATCGTTAGGACTGGATTTTGAATTGCATTAAGGTTTATTTGAGCTTGATTTGAGAGGTTTGCAGGCATTTTATTTTCAGGTTCAAATGAAAACATATGAATCTTACCTTTTAGTTATATATATATATATATATATATATATATATATATATATATATATATATATATATATATATATATATATATATATATATATATATATATATATATATATATATATATATATATATATATATATATATATATATATATATATATAGAGTTAGGCTCATATAAGAACCCTCCTCTATATAAGAACCCATTATATATAAGAACTAATCTGGACCGTACAATTAGTTTGATCTGACCGCTGAAAATAAATGATTAGTAATGGCATTTTAGTAATTTTCGCTGTTCTTTTCCCTTTCTTTCTCCTCATTCACGTTTCTTCTTTCCTTTTTTTTTTGGGCTTGGAACATTACAGCTCTCTTTCCTCTCATACATTACAAATTTACAACTCTTTCTCTCTCCTCTCATACATTACAACTCTCTCTCCTCTCATACTTTTGGATGCAAATTCCTTCAAGAAATTAAGGTTTGTTATTCAATTTTTATAATTTTGATTATCCTTTTAGTTAATTTATTTATTGATATCTATTTTTTGCGAATTTTTGTTGAATTTTTTTTATTTTGGCGAATTTGTGTGAAATTTTATTTTTTCTAATTATTTGTGGATATGCAATTCATCAATTCGAAAATAAGCAAAAATCTGTTTTTTTTTTTTTTCTTTTTGCGATTTCATCATTCAGTTTATGTTGATTTTATCTTCTTTTTTTTTTTTTTTTTTTTTTTTTTTTTTTGCGAATTTTCTTGAGTTTTTTTCATTAATTTCATCAATTTCGATTTTTCATTTCCAGAATTTTTCGATGTTATATGTTTTTTTGTTTTTTTTTCCGACTTTCGAGCAATTATTTTCTGTTTTTTTCGATTTTATCTGTTTTTTTTTTTGCGAATTTTCTTCAGTTTTTTTTCATTAATTTTCTGTTTTTTTTTGTTTTTTTTTTTTTTGCGATTTTTCATTTCCAGATTTTCTGTTTTTTCCTTTGCTTGAGTTTTTTTCCAGATTTTTGATTTTTAATGGATTTTAATTTTTAGTTGCTTTTTTGCTACAATATGTGTTTTTTTAAATAGGTTTTTGCATATTGATGGATTTAGATGGTGTTCAACCTAATTATCCTTCTTCTTGTGTTACTCATTCAGGTAATTTTATTGTTTTTAATGTTTTAATTTCAATTTACTTACATGTTCTAAAGTTTCTTTACTATGTTCTAAAGTTTATCGGTGATGTTCTAAAGTTTTCTCTATATGTTCCCATCCGAATGATAAGCGCAAATGCCATGTTCCGTTGCCTGTTGAACTCCTTTTAGAATGCAGAATACATCGGAGTATGAAAGAGTGGTTGATGAAGGATTATAAAAAGTAGTACGTGTTAGATGCTTCATCCAAATATACCATAAATGTACCAATCGCAATTGAAATCTGCTACTGACACTTTATATATTTTCACATGGAATTGAATGTGTAGTAGTGAGTCCTAGTGATAAGGGTAAACGACAATACTAATTTAGAATTGTCATGAGTCACATCTTTATGAAATAGCAGAGATATTTTCACAAGCTATGTTAGAGTGTAGAGTCTATAATTTGCAACCCCACACATGCACTTGCAAATCACTGATTTAATATTTCTTCACTAGGCTTTTCAAACTTTTTTGAGATTGTTTGTTCTCTGTTGGAGCACTGTTTAGTACTACAAACTAAAATTAGATGGATTTTATCCACTATTTTTATTTCTTAACATGACTATATTGCTTGGCCAAAACCAAATACGGAGTATAATTCAAGTAGTGCAAAAAATAACATGAGCTAAAATAAAATATTATGGTACTAATCTGAGGAAGTTAAATAATTTGATAAATAAAAAATATCTAATCCATTTTAAATAATTTGTAATGATTCAAAGTAAACTGTGGGTAAACAATATCGATCATTATCGGATAATGCCACAACAACCTCAAGGCTCGTCTTGGAGCTAGGCATTGGGGGATTGGGAGTTGGGAATGCTACTTTATCCTAGCAATCTGACATAGGGATAGTTGATGCATGTCTCTGCTACTGGAATCACCGAACCATGGCCCCACCAATCTGACATAGGGAGTAGGGAATCCTACTTTATCTTTATATTCTAAAACTTTCATTCTATGTTCTAAAGTTTACCTTCTAGTTTTAAATTTTACTTTTTATGTTCTAATGTTTACTTTCATTGTATGTTCTAAAGTTGACCTTCTAGTGTAATTTTTTCACTTTATTCTAAATTTTATTATGTATGTTATAAAGTAATTCACTATGTTCTAAAGCAATATGTTATAAGTATGTCCCTAATTTACGATATTCTAAAATTTATCCTTGATGTTCTAAAGTTTTCTCTGTATGTTCTAAAGTTTTCTATGTATCTTTCTCTTTATATTATAAAGTTTTTTTTTATGTTCTAATGTTTTCTTCATATTCTATGACTTTCATTGTATGTTCTAATGTTTACTTTCATGTTCTAATGCAGTTGGTGATATTTATCGTACTCCAGTTGGATCATTTAGCCCTGGTGGTACCGCTAAGGAATGGATTCCAAGTGTTCCTGAGGAGTTAAAACCCAGTTTAGAGATGATATTTAAAGATCATGAAGAGGGTCTTAGTTTTTATAAAGCATATGCAAATGTCGCTGGGTTTACTTCTAGGAAATCTACTACTAAAAGGAAGAAGAATAACAAAGATATAATTGCTTTTCAATATGGAGTTTGCAATAAGGAAGGTTTTAGGGCAATAAGAAAACCTATTGCTCAACAAACAGTTTATGAAGAAGGAAAAGTTCGTATTACTAAGAAATGTTTAGTCACTCGTGTAGGATGCAATGCTCACATATGTATGAGATATGATGATGGAAAGTATGTTGTAACTCATTTCAAAGAAGAACATAATCATCCTTTATATACTCCAAGTTGTGCAAAATTTCAAAAGGATAATAGAAAAATGCATATTATGCATAAAAAGTTGATTGTTGATAATTCAAAGGTGATTTATTTTTATGTACTAAATAATGTTTTTTTTTTGTTTTGATTTACTATGTTCTAAAGTTAATTCTTAATCTTAGTAATATTTTTTTTTCTAACAGGTAAATGTTGGTCCTGTGAGGTCTTATACTATGATGAAAGAATTAGCTGGATCACATGATAATGTTGGTGCATCTAAACAAGATTTCAAAATTTTTTATAGAGATTTGAAGGCTTTTATTGATGGATCAGATGCCCAAATGTTTGTGGATAATTTTCAAAATAAGAAATTGCTCTGGAGTGCATTTTTTTTTCCTTTGATGTTGATGAAGAAGATAGACTTTGTAGAGCTTTATGGGCTGATCCTATCTGTCGAAAAAATTATGCACTTTTTGGTGATATGGTTTCTTTTGATACCACATTCAAAACAAACAGGTGAATCCTTTCCTTTGTCCACACCGAAATTAGTGGACATTTTCTTGGTTTTTCTAACCCTCCTCTTTGTAGACGATCAAAATAGAATACCTATTTAGTACATGTTAAGAATTAATTAGAATATTTTTCACACATTTTCAACATAACAAGAATAATATATATACATAATGGTAAGAACTTAAAACTTACCATTATAAAAGGTAAAGGACCTGTAAAGTAAGAATTTCCCTTCTTCCATACACTTACATAATCTTTCAAGTGCTCAATCACAAATGTGCACCAATCCAATTCAGCAATTTTCTTTACATCCATACAACTATACAAGAATTTAATGTATAGTTGTGTGTTGTTTGTTGATCGAATGCAACAATTGACAACACATACCACAAAGTTCCAAAGAAATTCATCAGAAACTGTTTTTTCCTTCTTCAATTCTTGAATTCTGTCAATCAATCTCTTGTTGGTTGGACTTCCCTTTTAGAGGTAAAAAAAAAAACATATAAATTAAAACCTATGGAGATAATAGATCTATTTTAAAGCAGAAAACACTTTAGAACATAAGTAAAGCAATTTAGAACATACAATTTATAACATAACCATCTTATACCAATATAATATCATAAAAATAGCTAAATATAATTTTGAACATTACAAGTCAAATAACTACATAAATGATCTACGTTTTAGAACATAAAATTCATACTTTAGAACATAAAATTTAAAACATAACCACATTATATCATCATACTTTTTTGAGGCCAAACTTGCTTCTCCAAGCTTTTAGAAACTTGCTCCATTTCAGATTTGACTCATCATTTGGTTGCTCAATCCTTTTGCCTCCCAATGGCAACCCATAAGCCAAATGAACATCAATTGCCTCCAAAAAGATTTCTTGTTTTCTCTTTGGTAACATCAAACAACATCTCTCCGTGTCAAAATTCGTAACCAAGTTTTCTGTCAACTTAGAATTATAATGAAAAATGTAAGATTTAAAGCACAATACAGCTATATTTAGAATATAATAGTCAATCTTTAGAACATAGAAGATTAAAACATTTAGTATAATATTTAATTTTTTGTACATAATTTAGAACATTATATAATAAAAAAAGTCTATTTTAGAACATAATAAACATACATTAGAACATAACAAAAAATTAATTTAGAACATTAGTGTATAGCAATTCAAACATGAGAGATCATAATTTTAGAATACAAGAAGTAACTTTAAAACATAAGTAATTTACAACATAATCATATTATTTAGAACATATGCACATAATTTAGAACATAATCATACAATTTAGAACATATGCACATAATTTAGAACATAGCTAATTTCGAACATAATCATATTATTTAGAACATATGCACAAAATTTAGAGCATAACTAATTTAGAACATAAACTTATAATTTAGAACATTAGTGTATAGCAATTCAAACATGACAAATCATAATTTTGAACATAACATTGATAATACTTATGATTTTAGAATATGATTTTAGAACATAACATTCTACTACTTACATAGAATTAATATGGATTGGTAAATCCAATTCCAAAAAGCCTCCAAAACCAATGTTCCGAATAGCTTGCTTTTGTTTTTCCGAAAGATTTATCAACACATCCTTCATGAATTGAGTAGGAGGTACTCTTTGATAAGGTTGCCTCTTAACTAGTTTATCTTGCTCATTAGCTTCTACTACTTGGACATCCTCACCATCTTCTTCTTTTTCAATCTTTCTTTTCTTCTTCTTCACATCCTCACCATGAATAGATAAACATAATTAGAACATAGATAAGCAAAATTAGAACATAAGCGTGCATTTTAGAACATAAAAATAAAGATTGTAAAGATTAAAGAGTATTATTACCTGAGTTTGATTTTTTTTATTGATTTTTTGTTCCTCCTCACTATCATCTTCCATCTCCTCTTTTTCATCTTTCTCTTTCATCTTTACATCACCCTTATTATCATCCGCACCATCATCTTCACTATCATTATTCTCGTCATCATCCTCAACATTATTACCCTCTTCTTCTTTTTGATCTTTTCCTTCTTCTTGATCTTTTTCTCTTCCTTCCTTTTTTTGCAATTTTCGAGGTGGTTGAAGCCTTGTTGGAAGTTTTCTATGTCTTATAGCAACACTTTTACTTTCAATATGCTTCTCAAATTCCGATCTATCGATTACTTCCGCTTCAACGTTTTCAACTTTCCTTTAAAAACAATAAAAAATAATTAGAATACAACTAACATTAAATAGAGTGCAAAAATAAAGGGATAAGATGAACATAAACTATAATGGATACATATTAGAACATAATACAAATCTTCAGAACATAAGAGAAAATTTTAGAACAAAATGGAAAACTTTAGAACATAATGGAAAACTTTAGAACATAATACAAATCTTTAGAACTTAAGGGAAAACTTTAGAACATATTGGAAAACTTTAGAACAAAATTTAAAACATAATAGGTAAAGTTTAGAACATAGTTTAGTTATCTTTTTCTTACATAAGTAATTTCTTCTTCTTGTATATTAGTAACTCCTCCTTCTGATTTTTCTTCATTTTGGCCTTGCATTTTGCTGCAATTTTAAGAAATCAAAAACATTAGTAACATTCCAACATTATTATTATATTTTTGAACATAGGAATAATTTAGAATATGCTAAAAAATAGTTTAGAGCATGCTAAAAAAGAGTTTAGAACATGCTGGAGAGTGAAAAACCCAAATAGAATGAGTAAACTAGAAATTTAAAAGACAAATGAAACAGAAACATGATAAGGTTTGATTGAGTTTATTTTTAGCCCATGTTCTAAATTATTTCAACCTATGTTCTAATTTTTTCCTATGTTCCAAATTTTTTCTACCTATGTTCTAAAGTTTATTTTCAGCCCTGCAATCACAAGTTCACTACCAACAACCCCTAACCAATTAGCTGCTGCTGCATAAATCAACCACCACACTACAACCCCTACAAACAGGGGCAATCGCACCAACATCACCAATTTTGAAAAAAAAGTTTGTGAATTGGGCATGACAGAATTTTATATTGTACACTATATCTGATTGTTCTGCAAAACCTTTCAGAACTAATTAATCTTCAGTCTGACATCTGACAAATGTTTTACATTCTTAAATCAAATCCCATGTAAATGTAATTTCATCTTCTCAGGCTTCTCTGTTATTTTGTCCATTTTATAGCTAAAAACCAAATCCTAATAAATTAATAGATTATGTAATACTAAGTACTGTAAGGACTTAGAGGGTCAGAGCCCACATTTTTGGCGTAGTGGGAGAGGGTTTTATACTTTTACAGTTTTTATTTACTCTACGAAGTACTATATGCATTGTTCTTTTAGGTTAGCCAGGCTAGCCGCTATCGAAAAAATCAGCAAAAATCGAACACTAAATTCGAACTATAGATCCAGAAAAATAAGAAAAAATAGAACATAGAGAATAAGCCAGATTTGTTTTTAGACATGACTAATTGATGCAAGCAGAATAAGTAATGCCAAGTTGTTCAAGCTATGCTTGCTCATTAATCTTCATACCACCATATGACAACAATAGCCAACAATAGCCACCATCCATACCACCATATGCAACAAAATCTTCATACAAACATGGCTTCTCCTCTCAATGACAACAATAGCCACCAAATAAAGGCAACATGTACAGCAATCCCGGTCACTCGTATTGTGTCCATTGGTAATCCAAAAGATGACTCAGACTCACTACTCATCAAACTCAAAGTCGATTTCAAGCCATTAAATAACATTGACGGAAGAGTGTTATCACACATATCCATCAACAACAAATACCAGATACATATCCATCAACAAGAAAAAAAAACAGTGATTTTAAGAAATACTGGACATTCATATTCATAGCTATAATTTCGCTTACTAACGAAATCGAGCATTTAGCAGACATTTTAAAAAAAACGCAAATATCAACTCACGAAATATCAAAAACAAATCAAAAAAACCATAAAAATCGAAAATAGAAAAACCATTAAAATCGAAAAAATCATCGAAAAATCGAACTAAAAAAGCATAAAAACGCAAATATCAAATCACGAAATCGCAAAATCAAATCAAATAGTCGGAAAACATAAAATCGCAAAAATCAAAACAATAAATCGCAAAATGTACTTGAACAACATGCTAAGTTCATGGAAATTTGAACAAAATCGAAAAAAAAAACGCAAAATCAAATCAAAAAATCGGAAAACATAAAATTGCAAAAAGCAAACCAAAAAATCGCAAAATCTACTTGAACAACATGCTAAGTTCATGGAAATTTGAACAAAATCGAAAAAAAAAAACATACCTGAGTCGAAAATCCTTCAAATTGCAATTTCTATGGAGATTTTTGGGGGTTTGCAGAGAGAGAATGAGATGAGCACGAAGAGGGAGAAAGTTAGAGGAGAGAGAAAATTTTGATCGGGTGGTAGGTCCGTAGGGGGTATGAGGAAAAATACGTGTTTTAATCTTAACCGTCTAAATTACCTTAATCCTACGGCTGAGATTTGTTCTGATATAACTAGGGTTCTTATATAAGGAGGGGTTCTTACCGGATCCCTCCCCTATATATATATATATATATATTTGGTGTGCAGTTATAGAATATTTTTAATTGGGCAGACACGTTTTGATGATGTGTACACGAAGGCATGAAAATAACCATGGACCAAATCATCAAAGCTATTAGGTAAAAATGACTTCAAAAAGTAATTTAGGGAATGATATTAGCTTTGGTTAATACAATTGAATAAGGGTAATTAAAGTCAAATAGAAGAAAATAAAGATGAAAGGGCTTTCATCGGTTTTTACCGGTGGAAAGCCCGATGAAAGCCCCAATTGTTATTCTGTGTTCTTTTTTTCTTGGTTTAGGTTTATAATAACTCTTCCTCTTCTAGGAGGAACATTTCTCCCTCGAAAGACAGGGTTTTTTTTTTCTTCTTTAGGAGGATTTGGCTCCTTCGAAAGACAGGGTTTTTCTTCTCTCTTTTGAGGGAGGATTTGCTTTTTTATTTCATGAATTGTTGTAGAACTGTTTCATGGGTAAAACTTTGTGCGGGATTGAAAAAGAGGTTAATCTTTCGATTATAATCTAACGAGTCAGACGAAAATTTTCTTCACAGCTACAACAGATCGATAGACCCCCTCGCCGAGAAAGGATGTAAATCACGACAATATGAAAGAGGGTATATATGAAGAATGTACGATTTGCAACAACGATCGTAGCTTTGCTAACAAGATGTTTTTATTTCATTCAATTATCATGTATATGTTAGATCTAAATCTCTTTGTAGATGTCGTATGACTTTTATTTATGAATCAATTTTATTTCAAAAAAAAAAGAAGAAGAAAATAAAGATGAGGATAGGTGGTTCTGTAAGGGGCTAGATCAATGGAAGTGTGATGAGGAGGAAGGGGAAAATTAAAATTTAAAGGGATTTTTTATTTGGTGTCATTGTAATTTTGGTTTTTCCATTTGATACCCAATTTTTAGTTTTACTCCACATGATACCATTGTAATTTTGACTTATTTTTACTATAGCACCTCGTTAAATGTAACATTAGTTTGGGGCGATTGTAGTCCCTTATTTCTAATTTTAATTGCAAATTTTGATCCTTTAAGGTCATAATGACTTCCAAAACTTTAACCGAACAATTTTTTTTGCATGAAACAAATCGAAATATACAAATTGAGATATTTTTCTTGCACATAAATCGCGACATTTTTGAGTTTTTTATTTTATTTTTTATTTTTTTAATCTAATTTCGACCTCAAACTTGAACCTTAGCGCCGCTAAGGGCTAGAACATCCTCTTAAAACTTTAACCGATCAATTTTAATGACACTCAAATCGAAGAATACATAATATATTTGATGAAATGCTACAATAGAGAATAATTTGAAATTATAATGGTACCATTTAAAATAAAACTAAAAATTGGGTACCAAGTGGAAAAGCCCAAACTATAATAGTACCAAATGAAAAAATCCCAAATTTAAAATATGGGTGTTTCTACATAAGGTAATATTTTCTGTGTTCCTAAGCTAGATGATAAAAGTTTTACCAGTATATGCCTTTTGCAAACATTTTTGGAAGGCGAATAAAATAATAAGATTTTTCAAAGATTAAGCTACTTGCCCGAGGAAGATCTAGCTACTAATGTATGGTTAGTGTTAATAAGTAGCTTCAACACTTTTCTAAAGTCAACTCTTGTCATGTATGTTGTGAAGCTAACCGTTCAGCAGATTGTGTTGTCATATGCAGACTCATAAAGATATCAAACCTCTGTTAATATAGAGTAGTAAATTTTCTTTTTATATCTTTATAATGAAGGTAGGATTTAATATTGAGAGAAGACTATCATGACCTTAATGTGTTTTATTACCTTTCAAATTATGCATTTAATGTCATTATATAGTATTTGTATATTACCTTCGTTTTATAATATTCTTATTATGTTTTTGGCCTGGTAAACCTCTTTTACTACTTTACCCCTTTGATTTATTACTTTATTATTTTCTATTTTTTTTACACTCGACTCATACACCTCTATACACCAATTGGGCCTTATTTGGTAATAAAGAGCTTATTGAAGAGTTTTTAGCTTGTTGATTGAGCCTATCAAAAGGTTGATCAGACCATTAATTATGAAAAGGCTAATTTGAGTGTGGTAAATAACTTATTGAAAGAAGCTTTTTAGGCTCAAAAAATTGTTTTTATAAAAGCTCTGAGCCTTTTGACACTAACTTATTGAACATTAAGTTGTTTGGTTATCTTATTATTGAAACAACAATTTACCAAACACTTTTATGCAACTAAATAGTCAAATTAGCTAATACAACTAGCTAGTGAAGTCAGTTAATACAACAAGTTATGGCAATCAGCTACTATCTAATTACCAAATAGCGCATGTATCGAACTCTTTTACCTTAATAACCTTTTTATTTTACCCTACCACCCACATTTTACTCTTTCTTTCTCCTTTACTTAATTATTGGAAAAGTGCTATAGTGCTATGAACATTTTCTAATGAGTAGAATAAAAGATCATTTAATATAGGCAATATAAAATTTGAAGTAATATTTAATACTCTATCTATTTCACAACGATATTATTTCCATTTAGAATATTGTGATTATTAAAAATGAAAGAAAATCTTTTAAAATATTCTTTATGTATAAGAAAAACCTTAGTCGTCCAACAAGGTCTAGTATGATTCATTTTTGTTAGAACATTATTAATATCAATATTAATAATTTTTACTAATGTGAAATTACAGATATTTTTACGATCAAAGATTTGTATTGATAAATATAAATAGGAAAATCATCGTAAAACAGATGGTCAATTTACATTCTGAATATTCGATCATAATTGTTACAAAAAATGAGCTAAATATTTAATATGTGTAAAAAATGTCAGCATGAAGCAAATAAATTCTCTGATTTCAGTTTTATCTGCCAGCCTAATTAGATTAGAGGAACTTTCCCTTAATAGTATTCCAAAATTAAAGCTTTCTTTCAGGGCTTGTTGATTATTATTGAACATTTTATCAATTTTTGAGCCATATGAAAATTGCCACAAATAGTAGTGGTTATCCCTAATCTTTTGGATTATTTACCATTCTCATGGTTTAACTAATTAATCACATCCATACAAATGGTAGAGCAACAATTAAATAGGGCCCTAGTCTTAAGCCAAATTTTTAGCATTCTTCATGTAATGTTACTAGTTAAAAAGACTTGTGTTTAATTGTAATGTTATAACAAAAGAAGAGAAAGAAAAACATAAGTCCAATAATTAGCAATTAAGTGAAAGAAGAAAGAAAAAAAAATGCCGATATACAGAATAGCAGTGGGAAATCCAGGGGAGGCTAGCCATCCAGATGCAATTAGAGCAGCCCTTGCTGAATTCTTCTCTATGATTATTTTTGTCTTCGCTGGACAAGGTTCCGGCATGGCCTTCAGTAAGTAATAATGTACTATTGATTATTTGCATCTATAGATGGCCTTCCGCTAGTCTATTATACACTTGGATAAAACACACATTTCATTTGTGACAGGTGGCAAATAGGAGCTCGTGTTGTACATGTGCCACATTGCTGGTACATGTATTTACACTTGATTTGTCACCAGTAGATGTATCACCGTTTAAGTGGACCTTTTATTATGATAGAATCCCAATAAATTGTGATATGGTTATACTCAATACTTGTGCCTTCTCAACTATGTTCCTACGTGTTTGATATAGTCCAATTTTTCAAAATTATAAGCTAAAATTGTGACAAAAACTAGAAGAAAAAGCTTCATATGATTAGGATATCGTCGGTTTTTCAATTAGGCTTGTAAGATATGGAGTAGTAGTAAGAGTGACAAAACTCGTGCATTTATATAAGTACAAGCATATGTTAGGCACTTAGAAATTAGGTGCATGGGCCATCTATAAACATTTTTTTTTACAAGAAATCATATCTTATTTATGATAAAACTCATAAGCATGATATTAAGTAAAATTTTTACAAATAGAAAACTAAAGAGATTAATCATCAAAGTTAAAGATGTTGGTATATACGATAATTAATCAAACTGTTGCAATATTAAGAAAACGAAGGAAGTAATTTTGATCTTTAAAAGCTTATTAACGTTACATTCATGTGACTTTCTATTTACTCTTTGGCCAATATATTCAACCTTTCCTTTCCTTGTTGATTGAAAACAAAAAAAAAAAAAAAAAAAAAAAAAAATCATCATATATTCCTATGGTTTGTATTTGTAACAAGAATGTTGGGATATCAGGCAAACTGAACGACAACGGGACAACACCGTCGACAGGGGTAATAGCAGCATCATTAGCGCATGCATTCGGACTGATAGTAGCAGTCGCAGTTGGTGCAAACATTTCAGGAGGACATGTTAATCCTGCTGTTACCTTTGGTGCTTTTATTGCTGGTCACATTACTTTGTTACGCGCCATTTTGTACTGGATTGGTCAATTGCTTGGCTCTGTTGTTGCTTGCTTCCTTATCCAATACGCCACCGGCGGCATGGTAATTCCTTCCTTACCATTTGATTTGTGTTTATACGATGAATTTACTTGTGAAATGGTCTTGTACTAACATATTCAGGACTAAAGTAGTCCATAAAAGTTAGTTTTTTTTAAAGAGATTTTAATGTCTCACAAATTAAATCACAATAAGTTAGTGTGAAACCATCTCATTAGATTGTTAAGCCTTTTATTAAGTTTATACTCCGCAGTTTATATAATGTGATTGGAATAAAATGCCATTGGCATAGACAAGGTTATCAGGATCGGGATCCTACTTTGGATCGGTGAGAGGAGTAGGATCGAATCGGCAAAATCGGATCGTAGAATCATAAGATTCTACAAAATTGATAAAAATAGTAATAAAAGGATTGTTACATTATTAGATAACATTTTTTAAGCCATAAGAATGGTAAAATTTATAGTTTTAGTAGTTGGATAGTAATTTTTTTAGCTTAGAGAAAAGTTTGATTACATTAGGCTCATTTTAATAAGTAAAAAGTAAGATCGTACGATCTTGACCGATCCTACTCGATTCTGACCGATCCCGCACGATTCTGTCCGATCCTGATCGATCCTGTACAAACTAATAATAGTTTAAATGAAAAACAGGATCGTCCGATCCCACCCGATCCTACAACGATCCTGCTTACTCTGCGATTCTGCATCCGATCCGAATCGTTTGGCTAAAATGGGATCGTAGGATCGCACGACAACGATGGGCATAAAAACAATGCATACTTTTTGGGTGAGGACATGACCCATTATATAAGGGGCAGAGAGGGAAATTTAAATAAACCGATCGAATTTGTGTAAGGACACACCCCATTTATATGAGGGGGGATCCCGATCCTACGATCCGGATCGCGATTTTGACAACGATGGGCATAAAAACAATGCATACTTTTTGGGTGAGGACATGACCCATTATATAAGGGGCAGAGAGGGAAATTTAAATAAACCGAAGCAATTTGTGTAAGGACACACCCCATTTATATGAGGGGGGATTTTAAATAAATTATTCCTAAAATGAGTTTGATGAGATTAAACCTCTTTAAGTTTGGTAGTTGGAAAGCTAACTAACAACTCTAACCTCGTATATCTTGCCGATCTTGGTAGTATGACTAGCATCTTATCATTTATTTCATTTAACCTCTTTAATAATCAAAGCATGTAATTATTTGTGATGCAGGCAGTATCAGCATTTGCACTATCATCAGGGGTAACCTCATGGAATGCACTAGTTTTCGAGATTGTGATGACATTTGGGCTGGTCTACACAGTCTATGCCACAGCTATTGACCCAAAGAAAGGCAATTCGGGCATAATCGCCCCAATTGCAATTGGGCTCATCGTTGGGGCCAATATCTTGGCTGGTGGACCTTTTGATGGGGCAGCAATGAACCCAGCAGTCACATTCGGACCTGCCGTTGTTAGCTGGACCTGGACTCACCATTGGGTCTACTGGCTCGGCCCATTTATTGGGGCAGCACTTGCTGCTATTATCTATGATCACATTTTCATTGGTGATGATGAGTACTCACACCAGCCACTCCCTACTGATTATTAAGTGAAATATAGGGCTCGTTCGGAATCACAATAAGGTTCTCGAACATGCATGCCCTTAGTTTCTAAATGGGTATAAATTTAGCATTGAAGTTCCAAAATTTATTATGAACTCAAGCTAATGGCCCTGGGAAGGCAAAGATTGTTGATTTTTTATTTTTTTATTTTTTTTGGGTTTGTGTGTCAGGGTGTGAGATTATATTGATTTAATTTGTGGTCTTTAGAAGAAATTGTAATGATTGGTATCAACAAGTGGGTGAATTTCATTGGTGTCTACATACAATCTACTAATGTTTGTACTTAATTACTACCTCCGTTTCATAAAATCTGCAACAATTTCCTAAGACGGAAATTACACATTATGTGCAACAAAAAAACCTTTCCTAATATAGTAAATTTTTTTGTGTGAATTTAGAGTTATACCCTTACTAAATCTTTTTAATCACCACTTAAATTTCTTAATCAGATTTGATTAAATTACTAACGTAATTGAATTATTGTAATCTTTCCCACCAAAATTAAATCAACTCCCAACTACTCTCCTTTAATTCTTGCATCCCCAATTAAATAATCAACCACCTTCATCATTCATCAAACATAAACCCTAACCCTTGTTCTTCCCTATTTCACGCCCCTCTTTCTCTCTCTTCACTCCATCTCCTTCATCTACTCCTTCAATTTCTCAAATTCGCACCTCTTGGATCCTTCAGATCTACTTTATTTTCCTTTTATTTTTGTTCAGATCTAAACGATCAAACAGTGGAGTCCCGATAAATCGCTGATCTGACCCCCTTAGAAAAGGTTTTCTATGCAACCATCGACGAGAAGGAGCTTGATGTTCTTTCTGATCTTATCATTTCCCTTGAGAAGGATTCTTCTTCGCCTCGTTGGTTTTACGAATCCGGTGAAGCTCGCAAGGTTTTGTCTGATGGTGCCTTTGAATCTCTTGAAAGGGTCCTCAATTACAGTGAGGAAGTAAAGGAGATGTTCCTCCATTAAAATTTGCTCCATGCTGAAATAATCATCACCAGACCATTCTTCCATTATATATATATATATATATATATATATATATATATATATATATACATATATATATATATATATATATATATATTTTGGTTTCAGATTGTGCTGTGAGAGAGGAGGCGGCCCACCACTAACTAATGCTGATACTATAATTTTTTGGAAGCTGATGGATGTAGATGATGATGCTTGAAGCCTTAACTTTTTGGAAGCTTGAAGTGCTGACTTAATTAATTTAGGATTTTACATGTTTCATTAGGAGGGTTGTATTTAATGGTGGTCTGTAATTTTTTGAACATGAATGGTGGTGTCGTAAATGCTGTATTTATAACTTAGGTTGAACCAAAAAAACAGGGAGCCAAATTTGAATTTTGGGGGAAGTTGAAAATTTTAAATTTGGAGGCCAAATTTACATTTTCCAAGAAAAAATTTCCCTCCTTTTGCTGTAAAAAGGCTTGCAACAGCATGTCGGGTTAAATATTTGGTCCCCACTTTCTCTCTCATTAAATAATAATCACTTACCCTTACCTTTGCTAATATGCTTTTACCAAATTTTGTATTGGGGAATGTGAATCCAAGTTTGTTGCAGATTTTATGAAACGGAGGTAGTACTTAAAGTATTTCCATGACTATGGACTATGGTGATTTCAATAGAATTATTGTTAGTTCAAGTTATATAGATCAAGTTGTTGCAATCTAATCATGTTGCACTAGTTTAAAAGGATAACATTTATATGAAAATAATGAATATTCCCCTACAATATAGGAATTGATTCAAACTCTATACTCAAAGAAACATGATACACTTGTAAAAAAAAAACAAAAAAAAAGGAAAAAGAAAATATTTATGGTATTTTAAATAATCTAAAAGATTTATTTTAATTAAAAATCCATTTTTATTTATTTTGGAAATATTTTACTTCATTATTTAGAAGCTTTGGGGCATATTTAATATATAAAAGGAATTTAAAGTCAATGTAGTTTTACAGAAAGTCAAATGCCAATAAGAATGGGAGTAGGAATCATTAAGGGTAAAAAGGAAAATTAAGTTAGGAGAGTTTTGAGAGAGAGTATAAATACCCATCTTATGAGCAAATTAAACTTTGCCAAGGTGGAGAATACCTAAAGGTAAACTCTCTTTCTTTCTACTTTTTTTTCCACTTAATTTTTCTCCTCCCCTTTACTCACCTCACACGCACGCACACCACCACCACCACAGCCGGCCGCCACCAGCACGGAGCGGCATCAGCAGCAGCCGTGGGAGGTGGCGCACCGGCCACTCTCCCTTTTCTCTTTGCAGGTTGCGGTTTTACCAAAAAAAAAACCTTCTTCTTTTTGTTTTAATTCAATCTAGCTTTGATTAATTATTGAATTTGGGTGTGTAAGACGATTTTATGATGTTTTAATAATGATTAATATGTAAATAATTTTCAGATTTGGTTTTGAATTAAAAAGCCCCAAATTGATAAGGTTTCTAAATTGATGTTTATTGATGGAATTTGATTGTAGTTCATTGAAACTATTGAAATTAATGTTTTTGAACTAAATTACAGCAAGTTTTAGAGTTTTAATAATGCTGAAATTTTTATGTAGAGGCCAGAATTAAGTTTCCTACAAGGATTTTTAATTACCCATTAATTGAAAATAAAAGTAAATGGTTTTAATTAATTTTCAGCATGTTTTAGAAGATTTAAAAGTGTTTTAAAGAGTGCATATAGTGTTGAAAATTTATTATGAATAGGTATTAATGTCTCTTTGTAATTTTGGGTTGTAGGAGACTTCCAAGTGAGTGATTTCGTGTAGTCGTGGTGATTTTGAGATCATATTCGAGGTACGTTCGCGTACTCGATAATTATTTAAGTGTGTAGAACCATGCTAGGACTTGTTTGATTAATTTCAAGTTAGTATCATGATAGGCATTGGTTGGAATTATTGGTTGGATTGATTATGGTGATTGATTTGCGAAGCATGAATTATTTGAGGTGAATTATTGATTGGAATTAATTATGATGGCATGTTGAATATGGACCACACTTTTATTATTGGCATGAATAAGAGCATGTTTGATTAAACTAAATGTTTAATTTGGTTTGGTTTATGAAAAGGGAATTTTATTATGGTTCATATAATTTTTACAGATGCTATAAGCATGAGAAAGGAGCTATTTCAGTGTCTATGTACACGAGGATTAAATTATATTTTGGTGCCTAAGTACACTTAAGGTGTTCTAAACACCGAGGGATAGGATTTGTGGTGCATTATGCGCTTAAGGTGTTATTTAACGCCGAGATAGTTTAAAAAGGGTTTAACATTGAATTATATGCGGTCAATAATTATTCAAAAATTAAATTGGTATGTTTGATTGCTTGAATGATTTATGATAATTGATTGTGTGGATTGAGAGTCATCACCAAGTTTAAAATATGTAAGCAACGTAAAGTGAAAGAGATTACGCACCAAAACTCTTGGAACGTATATACCTCGAGTATTAACATATGGGGGGAATTATGGGGTTTTATATTTAACCATAGCTTCTACTGGGAGTACTGGATGCTGTATTTTCCTTTTTATTATTATGCGCAGGAATTCCGCCACTTACTAGTGTTTCTTTTATACTGGCATGGTTAGCTCCCGTGTTAGTACCCCTTTATTGGGGTAGGTTAGGGGGAAACTCGTTCGATGCGTAATCAAATTATATAAACAATGGAAATGTCTATTGAATGAAACGTGTGTTGGATGCTTGTAAACAGGTGTAACAAGGTAAGTTGTGTGATGCTAGGATGTATGCATGTTAGTGTGAATTGTTTACGCTTATGTACTCAACATTGTTGATTGTGTTTATTGTATGTTTGTTTGGCCTTGTCTTTATCTTGGCCCTACGATGACCCATTTCTAATGGCGAGTAGTGGGGATAAAGTAAAGAGAAGCTTTTTAGGTGATGGAGCATTTTCATAATGGGCATGAGTGGAGAGCGAAATCTTGTTTAGTTTCCATAAGAATATGATGTGTTTTGTTTGTCTTGATTATTGTATATATTTGCTTGTGAGACTAACTCAAAGATTTTTATTATTCTTTTGGGTTTGAAAAGGGCCTACAATGGTTCCAAGTTTTAGATTGACTTCGTTTAACTTTAGTTTCGTTTGGTTGACTTTTAAGTGTTGGTTTTATTTTTTTTGAATGGTTTTTAAACAAGTCTTCCGCTGTGTGTCTTTGATAATTGGCTTAGCCGTTTTCACGGTGGCGGTAATGTCTTACATTTTCCTATTTCGTATTTTAAAAAGAGAAAAACATGTATGTTAAGGAATATAATTTTTAGGATGTTACAAAGTGGTATTAGAGCCAGGTTGAGATTTTTATTACCACTAAAGCCAAAAACGTGTTTTGAAGTATTTTGTTTCAAACTTGGCCAAGTGTTTATTTAAATGAGTAATATTTTTTTTAAAGAAAAAGTGAGTTGTTTATTTTATTTTACTTTATTGTTTGAGGGGACCGAATTGTTTTTTTTTTAGTGAAAAGGTCCGATTTTGTTTTTTAATTTGGGTAATACGAAATTTTTTTTTATGTTGGGGTGTCTGAATTTTTTTTTCGGTTTGGCCGAAAATATTTTGCATTATTTAGGCTAATTTTCAAAATTTTTTCTTAAAATAAAAAGGGAGTCAAAATATTTTAATTTGTTCGTTTTGCAAGGAAGCGAAGGATTAAGGTATGAATTATGTGTTAAAAGTTTTTAATAGCATGATCGTGAGCTTGGGTAGGAAAGAATTTGGGGCATATAAGTTAGAATTATTCATGTTCTTGTATGCATTAATATTTAGGTGTGATGTTTGATCATGTGAATTGAATGAGGTGGAAGTATGTAATTATGTGATTAGAAATAAGTAAGATTGTTTTATTGAACCTAAATTCATGTAAGAACCATGTTATTTTATTTTTCTCTAAGAAGGGAATTCTTTTCTAAACTTTTTCCTTTACATGATGCTGATCTTTCCTAACAAAAAAACTCTCAAATTGGAACCCTAATTAAGAAAGACTATGAACATCTCTTTGACTATGTCAAGAAAATCCGCTTTTGTTGTTCACACATGAGTGATGTCTTAGGAGACAAGCAGTATGATCTTCCTGATCGTTTTCAGCCATAATAATTCACTATCTTCCTGACAAACCCCTATACCTTGCTGTCAAGACAAAGTTTTCTGATTTCTACTTGCTTGAGGACATTCCCAATTACTCCAAATACAAAGATTATTATGGACAGTGGTACCCTGACTACAGATACTTGATTTCTTACCTCGTTCGAGTTGAGAACATCACTATGAATGCTTACATATTACATATCCAAATAACTATTATGATAACCTAGTAGGGAATAATTCCCCTTCCACAAGCAACCAATCAGGAAACAATTCCCCCATCACAAGGCAATTAAGTGGGAGCAAATGGAGGGCAAGAGGAAGGAGAACTAATGGAGGAGAGTAACCATACTGTTGACAGTTCCATTTTTGAAATCTCAAATCCAGATCCACCCCCAAATCCAATTACCATTGACATTTCATCTGACGATGAGGAAGATGAGGAGTTTATTCAAGTATAGCAAAATCCAGAAACACCTGAACCAATGGAAGAGGAAGATGACCCTGAATTCGATCCTGGAAGCTACAAACAATCAAAGGACAAGAAGGACAATGTTCGAAAGGACTAGATTTTTGTAGTTTCATTTCTTTATAGGATTCCTAGTTTCATTTCCGCAGTTATAGTTATTTCATTTCCTGTAAAGTAATAAGTGGCATGGCCACAGTGAGTCAATAAACCTATTGATTTACGTAGGTTATTCGAACTCATTTCATTTTTATTTTCCAGTCATTTCCTTATTCAGCAATAAAATTTATATTCATTGTTAAATGATTTATTTTACTGCCAAATAATTCATTTCATTTCCAAATCATTCTTT